TGTACGGAACAGTTAGAGGACAGGAGGGAGGTGAGAGTTAAAACAACAGCAGATAATGGAGCTAGAACTGTTGGCTTAAGTCCACTCTGAAACCCCACTCTCCCTCTAAACTTCAGTTGTGTGAGCCAATACATTTATTTATGACCATTTGATTGGGACTCTCTGTCAGTTGTAGTTAAAGTCATCCTGATGGATATGGCATTCTATAAAAGCTACACACTTTGGGGACCCTCAACACCCTTATCAGAATCTGTCTCTAGGACCCACTTACCCTGTGTTGCTTATCCTCTTTTGAAGAATGCTTGCATTGGATTTGATTTTTAATCTTTAGCCACTGTGGATGAGCTCACCTTGCCCTTTACTTTGCATTGCTTCTTCCTGCCTCATTCAACAGTCAGAAGCCTGGACACCCTGCTTGCATGAAAGAGGCCCCAGGTTTCCCAGAGCTCCCACTCATCCCAGCCTCCCAGGACCATTCCCAGCATGGCAGCTCTACCAAACCACAGTGTCTTCCAAGTACTACCAGCCCCTGGGCTGAGACCAATTTTCCTAGATCAAAAAAGTGCAAGTATGGAGGTTTTTAGGAGTTGTGCTGTGCTCTCAGCTTATGCCTTAGTTATTGTTTCTAAAATGATGCCCTTAGATGACCAGTATCCGAATCACCAGTCTCATGATCAAATGCTTGTTAGAAATGCAGGTTCCCAGACTTGCTGAGTAGTATTCCTGGGTTCACACCCTAACCCATGGTTATCTCCCACATTCTGCATTACTCAGCTTCCAGCCTCAGCATCTGATGAAACAGAGGCCACAGCAGTGAGAGCAGGGGTGGGGGAAGGAGACAGAATTAGGAGTTGAAGGGAGAACCCGGAAGTGTGATGGGAAGGTGCTGAATGGTTTTGGATGCACAGAGTGGAACTGTGCCTGGAGAAGATGCAAATTACAACAGCCATTTGTCTCCCAGCTTCCATAACTTTAACCTTCCTGCATGCTCTACCAGCTTTTGCTTCTGGCGTGATTTGCACCCAGACATACCCAGCGTCACAATGTATCCCTCCATAAATCATAGAGTTGATGGCAAAGAACTAGGTGAAGAATAAAATGTCCAAGACCGAAAGGTCAGAGCAAAGTTTTATAAAATGGCAATCTACATGTCACAAAAGTTTTGCATGAGTTAGTACTTTCACAAATGTGAAATATATTTTCCCAGTCCACAGCACACCTCATTTCCCAAGTCCGTGCCATTTCATAGTGCTCATTTCATGCTTTGTGTGGCTTTATGAGTTCTTTCCCAGTGAAAAAGAGAAGATCACCCACTTCCTTCCCTTTTCTTATGAAATATATTTACACAGTGACTGACACAACAGAATGCAGGTTATATGGAGAATGAACCTATAACTTCTGACTGCCAACTTCACTCAGAATTGGCTTTAGGAATACTTTAGACACAGCTGGAAAAAAAGTGTTCAGCACCATTTTTTCTTTTTCAGAAAATGATGGAAGGGAATTTTAAGCTTATTCTAGAATCTATTTATTCTGGAATCTATTCAAAATAGACCTTTGGCAGTTCACTCTCTCAGACCCTCTGCATACTTAGAATTAATCCTCTTTTCTCTAACAAACCTACATCCTCTCTCCTGCCCCTACTACTCCAATTCTCACTGGATATTTTTTGTTTTAAAGATTTTTTTGAGAGAGAGGGGGAGGAAGAGAGAGAGAGAGGAATGAGCCGAGGAGGGGCGGGCAGGAAGGGGCAGAGGGAAAGAATCTCAGGCAAACTCACCACTAAGCAGGGAGCCCTATACGGGGGTTCAATCTCATGACCCTGAGATCATGACCTGAGCTGAAATCAAGAGTTGGTGGTGAACCAACTGAGCCACCCAGGTGCCCCCTCATTGGATATTTTGACACCAAAGTCTTTTTCAATTTCTTGCTCACAAGGGGCAAATCAGTCCGAGGTCTGGGACACTTAGCCACCATTCCAGAGCCCTTGCAATGGTCTAAAAAATTCATGTAATGGACTCCAATGCCGGACTGATTTCTTGGACTCTAGTTTTTAAATTACATTGGAAACACCAGAGTCAATTTATAATACACAGGGCTTTCATGTTGGAACTCAAAAGTCAGGTGTTAGCATCTGGGCCTTCTGATCACCCATGTCACTTCTGTTTCTATTCTCTAGGTTAGTAGTTCTCAAAGTGGCTGTGTATCAGAATCACTGGAGGAGTTTTTTCAAAACAGATTTTCTGACTCAAGTATAACATAAAAAATCAGGTGTTTGTTTGTTTGTTTGTTTTGTTTTGTTTTGCAAGCTCCCTGAGTGAATTTCATGCAACCACCCAAGTACCCATTACTGAAGACATTTAGGAAGCACTTCTCTGGCCCTAGTGGTTCTTGTATGTGCATCAGAAACACCTGGAGGCCTAATTAAAATACAGACTGAACCCTCAGAGTTTCTGATTCAATAGGTCTGGGATGGAGTCTGAGAATTGTGCATTTCTTTCAAGTTTCAGGTGATACTGATGCCGGTCTGGGGACCACACTTCGAGAACCACAGCTCTAACCCAGGTTACTTGTACATGTGTTTATTATTCATTAGGTTTTTTATTATGTAGCCAAGAACTGGGCTTCACAGGAAGGAATTATCCTTTCAGATCAAGGGTAACACACCCAGCTGAACATCATAATCACCCAGGAGCTTTTATTTTCTTTAATTTAACATTCAATTATTGGGATTAGGCTTATGCTTCACCTCAGATCTACTGAATCAACATCTCCAGGATCCCCTGGTAATTTGTATTGTTTTGAAGTTACCCAGAAGGTTCTGATTACAAGGATTTGAAAACATTGCCTTAGATGAGCCAGACTTGTGAGTTTATGAATAACTTATACTAAAAATTATCTGAAATTCAATTTTAATAGGGCATCCCATATTTTCAGTTGTGCATCTGGCACCCCTACTCAGCTGTATTTGTGAACAGTTTATTTCCTCTGTGTGTTCCCTCTTTTGCTCAACACAGCCCTATTTTAAATGCTCAAGGGGGTTGTGGTAAGGAGTGAAATCCACGCAAACATGATGTCAGGGTGAAGAAGAGAAAATTAAGATGTTTCCTCAGGAAAGAAACACACACACACACACGAAATTTCATTAATCTAGACAGCAGAAACAAAATCAGAAAGAAAAAAAACTACTGTCTGCTAATGTTTTTTTACCAGACGATTCATCAGTTATACAGTCAAAAGAAACCCATGGGGAATAAAAAGACACCAAAGTTGCTATTAAAATGTTTCAAGTGAAGCCATATATAATTAATTTCAAACAAGCATAAGCTATGAGAACTCAAATACTTCAAGGTGCTGAGTGAAAGGAGGGATAAATCTACATCAAGCTTCAAAACTGTTGCTTCCAGGTGAGTCTAAGATTAAGCCAGAGACAGGGAGATAATGATGTCTGCTCCCTCCCTGTTTTATTGGAAGCTAAAGAACCTTAAGAGGAGATGCTCCCAGGGCATCAAGGACGAGAAGAAACAAATATACAGCCCAGCACCTGACATCAGCACATAACAACTAAGAAACTGAATCGAATGAGTGGAACAAAATCAAAACAGAGAAGAAAAATTCACTGATGCAGAAGACAAAGAATATAAAGGAAGTTATTTGGCAAACCACCACACAGGGTGCATAACCACTGAGTTCCACGGTCACTCCAAAGCAAGCAGGTTTCTCTTAATGTTCTTCTGCCATTTCATAGGTTAGGCACCAGCAAACTTCCACTGTAAAGGACAAGATGAATCTTTCAGACTTTATAGACCATACACTCTCTGTCGCATCTTCTCATCCTTGCTGTTGTGAGAAAGCAGCCATAGACACTCTGTAAATGAAGACATGGCTGTGTTCCAATAAAACCTTATTCACAAAAATACATGGTTGCTGTGGACTGAATGCTCGTGTCCCTTCAAAATTCATATGTTGAAACTTCAATTCCCAATTTGATGGTATTTGTATGTGTGGTCTTTGGGAGTTAATTAAATCATGAAGGTGGAGTGGTCATGAATGGGACCAGAACCCTTATAAGGGAGTAAAGAGACCAGTCTCTCTCTGCCCTGTATAAATATAAGTAGATGGTGGTCTACAAACCAGGAGGGCCCTCACCAGATCTCTGATCTGCTGGCACCTTAATCTTGGACTTCTCAACCCCTAGAACTGTAAGGATTAAATGTTTTTAAGCCACATAATCAATAGTGTATTTGTTACAGAAATCCAGCAGACTAAAAGTGGTAGGACATGTTTGGTTCATGGACCATAGTTTGCTGACTCCCACCATAGGTGAGCCCACATAGCAAGGATAGCATCATTAATGGATTCTATGGAGCACCCAGTGTTCTGATGGTGGATGCTCAGTTAAAAAACAAAACACTCCATCTACTCATCACCATACATAAAAGGGCAGAGTGTTTGAAGGTCACCCTATCTGTAAAGGCAGGAAATCAGGATTCTGGAAACAGAAAGAAGTTGCTGAGACTGTTAAAAAAGGCAAAGACGAGACAAAGGAACCAAACATTTTAGCATGTTTTTAGAAAGGTCACTTGGTGGCTCTGACATTCAGAGAAAACTTGACCGTATGGGGGAGGGGCCCTCTTGCCAGTTTCTTTGAAGTTAAGCTGCTACTGGGGAGGGTGCATCATAGGAGGAGGTGTCATCCTTCTGCATCAGGAAGGCTTTCTGATCTTCTCAATTCACTAATTCGCATTTAACATCCCAAGAAGTGTCCTTTCCAAAAAGAGAAAGCTAGGTCACTTTGGGCATGGAAGTTTATAATTTAAGCCAGAACATATCACCTATGGTGCATGGAAACATAACTTCAGTGACCTCCTTTATGACACCGGTAAATGTTTTATCCAAGGTCGCCAGGTCAATAAAGAAACACATACAAGCATGGATTCTACATTGTATAATTTAAAAGCTTTATTTCCCCCCACATGAGCAAATCGGTTTCATATTAGTTCAACTGGAAGTTTTCTTCCTATAGCTAGTGGCCTTTCTCATTGACTATGTCATTGGTGGGGAAATTGCTTTCTCACAGGGGAAGGGTAAGATTTCATAGAGACACTGAGCTAATCACACACAGAAACGTGAGGGTCTGACCCAGCAGCTTCCGAAAGAGTCTTGAGGTCGACGTGTCCCTTCAGCTAACGGCCTGGGCAGGCAGAAACACCACAGGCTTACCGCCACACACCCGTTGCAGAGGCTGGGCAGGCTCCTCCCTGCGGAAGTGACAAAATGCAGCCCCTCTGGCCAGGAAGCCTGTGGCGATCCCCTCAGTTCCTGCCATGTCCCCTTCCCTCAATCCTGTGGCCTGATGCAGGAGTGTTTTAGCTCAGCAAACAACTGGCTTCTGCTTTGGGGTCCAAGGTGCACTCTCCAAGTGCGAGACTGGTCTTCGCTCAAATGTTGTGTTCACACAGTTCGTGGCCGGTGCTTCATGGGGCAGTTTCTGCCTCTCCTAGGAACAGTGGCCTCATATCAGCAGCAGCACGAAGACCCAGGCAAGCACTGGTAGGCAGAGTGTGGGGGCACCACTGCCAGATGTTCTCTGCGCGTGCATCACGGCGAAGACCGCATTCGTGTGGTTGGTGGGTAACTCTACATTACAGATCATACCTTCACAGCAAGACCTACACTCCTGTCACAAAGGCAAGAGGAGAGGGGAAAGAGGGTGAGTGATGGGAAGGAGAGGGAAGGGTGAAGCAAAGAGCCACAAAATCAAGCTTCTTCAGCACTGACATTAGGTAGAATTAGAGTTAACCAACTCAGGGTGCCTGGGTGGCTCAGATGGTTGAGCGTCTGCCTTCGGCTCAGGTTGTGGTCTCGGGGTCCTGGGATCGAGCCCCACATCGGGCTCCTGGCTCAGTGGGGAGCCTGCTTCCCCCCTCCCTTTGCTTCTCCCCCTGCTCATGCTCTATCTCTGTGTCTCAAATGAATAAATAAATAAATAAAAATCTTTAGAGTTAACCAGCTCATCCAGTCTACGAGACACTCAGGCCCCCTGAGTACCTTCTCCCCCACCCCCGACTGACCCAGAAGTAAGGACTATCTTGACAGTCTTTTCATTTAACAGTGATTTATCTGCAGCAAGCCAAGTATAAGCAAGGAAAAGAAGAGGAAGGGAAACTGAATAAGACTGCTTGATTGAGTCAACAAATCTAAGGTTTGTAAGGAGAAACACTGAAACAAAAATGAAAGCTAGGAACCTTTTGGATTGCTCATTGATTTTCTTTCTCGGTACTACTTGTTAAGGGATAATAATGACTCTCTATTGTCTATACTAGCACCTGATTCCTATTGTTACAGCAGCAATGGCTTGCTAATTATGGCTGCTGGGTGGTTGAAAAAGGCTTGTCCCCTCACAGCACAGATGTTTTTCAGGGGAGGCAATCTCCTGTCATAATACCTGGAACAATGCTTCACCCTGATACACCTAGCTAGCCATTCATAGAGGCGTCCAGGCTGGCTAGCTAAGAAAAGGGCAGCGACTCAGAAGTACCTTTATTGGCGGCTTTCAACCCTGGCTGCACGTGAGAATCTCCTTGGGGAACTTTAAAAAAAGGAAAGATGCTGATGCCTAAGACTCCACCCTGAAGTTCTGTTTCAGCTGATCGGGGATGTTCCCCCCCCCACCCCACCCCCGACAATGAACATAGCTATGAAAGCTCCCCAGGTGACTCTCCTATGGAGCCAGAGCAGAAAGCCACTGGTGTCAGAACCACTTTCTGTACACATAAACTAAATCAAATTCTTAAAATCTCATGAAATTCACACACTTTTCAAGTAATTTTTTTTCACAAACACCTCAGAATTCCAGGCATATAAAAGAGGAAAACTGCTCATTTAGAATGAGAAAATCGAGACCAGGTGATCTAAAATCTATCCATAGTTTATCCTATTAAACAGATTCTTTCAGACTCTCACTTCCTCATCTAAGCAGAGGTGGGGGTGACACCAGGACTCCCCCATTTCCCTCTTTCCACCTTCCAGCTTCACCGGCCAGTGTGCCCCGTGATACCTGGCCATAGAGAAAATACATGAGTTGGGCTCTGTAGTGTTTGCCATTCTCTCATGGGTGGTTTGGTCTTGGGCTTCCAGAGCCGACTTCAATCTACCTGAAGTCCGAGGTCCAGGGTGTAGCTGTGTGGTTTGGGAATTAGTATTTGTTTCTAGTGACATTATTTTTTTCTTGAAGGACGAAGAGTCTTCCACTTCTCTGTGGTCTCCGTTGCATCCCTGTCAGGGAGTGTTTCCGCAAAGAGTGAACATGTACACAGATCTCCCTTATCCTTCCTGCCTTTCCATAATGTACCCATCAGTAACAAACCTCAGGAGAGTAACTTTACACACACACACACACACTCCTTACTGTATGTTCAGAATCTCGGCTGTGGTGGCAGCCAACAAAATGACATTCACTTCTGGAGGCACATTTTTTGGTAATGGATGTACTTCTTCCATGACTGGTAAAGTGGTGAACTGTCAGACAGTACTGTGTATCTAGACAGGAAGAAAAAAAAAAAAAGGCAACCACACGTTTCACATTGCAAAAGAGAGGCTCAACATTCACTTCAGACAGGACTAAAATTCAGGACAATCCTTAGGTTTCTAGGCAAGAGGTTTAATGGCAGGAGTGGACACCTATCCTTTGGTGCCCTCTAAAGCTGACCTTAGGTCTGCTATTTCATATCAAAGTGCCTGTATCTCTGTCTCCCTCCCTCTGAAGCATGGGTTCTAGGACTCTATGGAATGAAAGGTGTAAATGTAAAATGCAATGGGTTAGAGCACTTCTTGGTGTATTATTCAGCATTTGTTTCTTGTCTACTAAGAGATATGTGGTAAATGAAAAGCAGGTGCTTTAAAGTATACATCAAGACCACCTTCCTGATGCACGCAGTTCTTACGCACGCTCTAATCCTCCCATAGTGTTTGACTTTTCCTGAGTGTTCCCATTTTTCTCCCCTTTCTTAACTCTGTCTCTGTCCCCTCCCTGCCACACAGCTCGCTCATTTCTACAACTTTCCATATGGCTTTAAGCACTCACGTTTTACTACTTTTAAAGAAAGTGATTTCATTCAATATCCAAGGAACTTCTGCTTTAGTTTTGCATCTCCCTATAGTGATCTCAGGCCAGTGCAATGCTCCTTAGTTTATTGAGAATGGACTAGAGCAGCAATCCCATAAAATGGGAGGAAAACTTATTTAATACGGAGAACCCTTGGCTTCACAGAACTGCCTCAGTTACAAGTGAGCCCCATTAGGTCCTTCAAGCTCACTTACTTTTGAATAAAATGATGTTGACAAGTATGCTGACATTTTGATAGGGTTGTTGTAAACTTCAAATAATATTAACACATACTGAGGGGATACCACCAGCTAGGCACTCTAGCATGTATTCCAGTCAACCCTTACAATAAGGCTTAAGACAAGTCTTATTAATATCATTTTACAGATCAAGAAAAACAAAGGCACAGTGTCTTGCCCATGGTTACATTAGGTAGAAGGTGGTGGAAGGTAGGATTCTAACCTGGGCAGTTTTCTAGGGTTTGTACTCTTCACCAGAACACTATTCTGCCTCTCAGCATACTCAGTACTAAATCAGATGATGGTGTAGGGCACTTGACACAAGTAGTTGACTTCCACATTCGGAAGGAAAAGGAACAACTATAATGTTTTGGAAAGGCATTTCAACTTAGACTTCAAACAAAGGGGAGCTGAAAACTGGTAGCTGTGTGTGTTCCTATAAAATGTCACCCGTGCTAAAGCAGCCCTGGAAAGTCAGAACAGAAGCCAGGGTAAATAAAACAAGACATGTCATTCTTGTCATATCCTGTTACACAGAGAACCGCTCTTAACAACACTGACAGACCACAGAAGGAAAACCCCAAAGGGAAAGGAAACCTGAGATGACAAAGAACAATAGCTGTGAGCCTGTTCACCCTAAGAAATGGTTGACTATCACTCTCCTAAATAGTGGCAAATTGTACAAAATTACACCCTCAGTTAGAATTCCAGATGGTTAGTATCTTTGGGGCTTGACTGAAGTACAGTCAAGAATGTTCCATCATGCACACTGGAATGAGGGGGTTATTCCATGGCAAGCTCTTAAAGAGTCAGGTGTGCAGGGGGGACCTGGAAGAGCCCGCGGGCTTCACCTCTCCCATCTCTGACATTTTCTTGGTGGTAGAAAGCTGCAGGATTCCTCTTTTGTCCATCCGTTTCAACAGACGTGAAATTCTAAAACCCCAAATATCCATGCACGTTCCCATTAAAAATGGCTTTGATTAATAAATGACAATTTGAAGTGTTACACACAGACCTAGTGGGAACAGTGTTTTGATGTAATTCAAAATAATATAGTCCGTGAAGTTAAAACACAAGAATGGACATCAATGCCCCAATTGACTATGGTCTTAATTCTTAGCACTGAATGTTTCAGAGGAATTTAAAGCAAACAGGGAAAGAACGATACCCACCCTTCTGAAGTAAGGTAATAAAGAAAGCATTGGCCAACCTTGAAAACTATGAAGTAACGAAGATATATTTCTGTGCAAAACGTAGAAACACATCTCCAAATGCATAACATATGTACATGTACGCAGAAGCACATACCCAATTTAGGGTCACTCTACAGAAATGTAAAAGAACGTCAAGAAAAAATTATAATAATTACTTTTGAAAAGAAATCATGACAAATACTGCCAAGTAGATGTCACAACCATTTGTGCTAATTTATAGCATCAGATTCGCAGGCCCCATAGAGGTCTGCCGTGTGGACTATTTATTGGTGTCACACACTGGCTTTCTCTGGAAGAAGTAAGGCTATTTCACTGCTTTATAGAATATGATACAGACATTTCCAAAAGAGTCAAGGTAATAGTAGACCAAAACTGGTAATCTTTAACTCTGGAAAAGATGGTTGGTTTGATGGCTTTTCTTGGCCTTTTAAGTCTGAAAACCTAAAAAAAAACCAGTACCTCCTAAAATCTGAATAGCCTGGTCTTCTTACAGCTCTAAGTAGAGCTTTCCAATTCCAAATCCCCCATCAGCACATCCTGTCTGCTTTACCGCCAAGTTTGTATATATTAAATCATTGAACTTCTTGTCCCTCGATTCTTACCACCCTAGTCCCAGTTGCCATCTTCTCTTGCCTGAAGACAATGAAAGACCCCACCTGGTGTCCCCCTCTACTCTTGTCCCCAACCACCCATGCTCCACATAGCAGCAGAGCAGTATTTTAGAACACAACTAGAATCCTGTGCTCCCCTAGCATGTAACACCCTACCACCTTCCCATCACATTTATAATGAAATCCAAATTCTACCAGAAAAAGAAGATCCTGTGTGCCCCGGTCCTTATTTCCATGAGATTCTTTCTCTATCTGCTACGAAGCCTCACTGGCCAGTCTTCTTCCTGTTGATTGAAGAGGCCAAATCTTGTCTCCTAGAGACTTTGCATTTGCTGTTCCCTCTTCCTGGCATGTTCTTTCTATATATCTCCACGTGGCTGCCCTGTTTTTGGTCAGTCAGGTCTTAGTTCCGCAGAGATTTCCCTGACCACCTAATCAAAGGCATGCATTCATTCTATCAACAAATATTTACTGAGTGCTTAGTATGGGCCAGGCAACTGGATTAGGTACTAGAGATGTGTCAGTGAACTAAGCAAACAAAAAAGATATTCAAATGTTTGTCAAATGAATGAATGAGTTACCAAAGCATCAATGTATCTCAAGAGTATAAAAACCTTTCTTTGCGTTAGCCAGTATGTATGACTTTTCTAGAGGTATCATCAAGCATTTCTGAAATTCTTAGGATGCCTTAGACAATATTGTGGTCTATTTGTTCTGCCTGATAAATATTATTTAAGAGATTATCCTTGGAGGCACACACATCGACAAATTGAGGGTATGCCATCAGTTTCCAAATACTCTCAGAATAGTCTAAATCTGCATAGTCTCATAAAAAAAAAATCTGATTTAGACAGAACATCATCAGCCTGTTGATATGCTAATCCCATTATATAAAACATGTCTGCTCAGGGCCAGTTAAGAGAGAACTAAATGAGGTATGATCACAAGAGCGTCTTCCAAACTCAGCACACTTACTTTGTGGACACCATTTGTCTTCTGCCCATCGATTGCAGTTATAATTATCTCCTGCATTTTCACAGGTAAAACACTTGAAGCTGTTTGGAAATGGCGTAGCTTTAAAGAAAAATGCACAGTGAAACAGAAAGGTTACAAAGGACAAAATTTCAAACATCAAAGATGGCACAAAATTAGCAACTTTTGTTAGATCAAACAAAATGTACACGCCATCATCCTGAGAATTGTTGTTGCTAGGGAGCTGGATGGAACTGCCAGACTTGGGGCATGTTCTTTATTCCCTTTTCTTTAAAATACTTTGTCTACTTATCTACTAGAGAGTAATGAAAATGAGTCCACAAGCCACTTTGAAATATCGTTCCATTACAATTTATAACTGGGGAATAAGTGGGAGTTGAGAGAACGGGCAAGGGTGGGGATAGTATCAGAACCAATTATTTGGTATAGTGTGGCCCCTGAGAAGAACTAGAGTCAGGTCAACATGAGCTTGAATTCTGCTCTTCCCACTAAGTAGTTGTGTGATTTTTAGTTTCCAAGAAATAATAATATTTACAGTAATACTAACAATGTGGATCCCCATGACATGCAGAGAAATCATGAAGATTAAACAGGAGGTTGCAATAAAAATATCTAGTAGAGTCCCTGGCCCATCAAATCAGGCTAGTCTCCATCCACATGCACTTCCATTACAGCAATCTCACTTGATATATGTCAATTATCCCAACATTAGACCTCAATCAGGAATGTAACATTTAATATAAGGATGGTAGTAATTCTCAGGCTCTTATGCTCAGACTAGAGTGTTACAGAAAGCAGGAATTATGACTGCTGGCAATGTGGATTGAAAGCAATGAGAATGTCCTTTTTATCCTCATGCTTTTTTTTTTCTACCTTGTATCTTGTTTTAATGGGCAAGAAGTTGAAGGTATAATAAATTTGACATTTCTTTACAAGCCATGATATAAAGCCTTGTGTAAAACTTTCAATTCTTCCATTTTTGGAGAATAAAACAGATAAAGATCAAGGAGAACCCCAAACCATCCTAGTAATCTGACCCCACGTTGGACAAATATATCTTTTTTCATTTTTTTAAATGATTTTTTTTGTCATAAAATTGTTTTAGTCTTAGAAAGTTGAAAATGTATAATTTAGATTTTATGAAAACTGTGTCTGTGCCATGTCATTAAGCTATTAGTATATAATCATTACCAATTTAGAAATGTATAATAAATGATAGTTCAAGATGTGCATGTGTGGTACACATGTGTAATGTGTGTGTGATATATATATATATATATGTCTGCACATGCACATACAATGTCCTAAATAATAAAAAAGCACAACGTAAAGAAGAGTCCCGATATAGGCTTCATTTAGAAGTAGTTAGGGGCATCTGTGTGGCTCAATCGGTTAGGTGTCTGACTCTTCATTTCGGCTCAGATCATATTCTCAGGGTCATGGGATCGAGCCCTACATCAGGTTCCACACTCGTGGGGAGTTGGCTTGAGAGTCTCTCCTTCTCCCTCTCTCTGCCCCTCTCCCTGCTTGCATGTGTGCACTCTCTCTCTCTAAAATAAATAAATAAATCTTAAAAAAAAAAAAAAAGTAGTATAAATACAGTGGTTCCTAAACCTGGATGTGCGTGCATCAATAGTATCAGGAAAACTTTTTTAAAAAGAAGAGGGGGTCGGGGAGAAAAAGGAAAGAAAAAAATAATCTGCATCCCACCCTTCTGACTATTGAATCTCTGCAGAAGGGACCAAGGAATATGTAGTTTCAAGTCTTATATCATGATTCTGCTGCTCTTCCAGGTGTGGGAACCACAGGCTTTGGTATTTCTACCAAACAACTGTTATCTATAACAACCTTTCTCTAATAAAGTATATCACGGAAGTTTTACTTGTCTGAAGAGAAAGAAAGAGAGAGGATATATGTATATAAGGTCCAGAGTCTGCTTGAGATTCTCTCTCCCTCTCCCCCTCCCCATTTGTGCGCTCTCACTCTAAAATAAATAAAATCTTTTTAAAAAATATATTTATTTTATCCTATAGATGATATTCACTGATACTTGCTTTTTTAAAATAATTAGTGGGAGGAAGTTTTCTTTCTAATGGCGACTGTGCATATTAGTGAAAATCCAAGTAGTTATTTCCCTCCAAATTTCAAACTAATCTGTTCCAAAATTGTTAATGACCATTTGAAAGAATGTATCATTTATGGAGAAACTTCCTACAGCCAATATCCTTCTCCAACAAAGGGATCAACAAAGAACACTGAATTTTCTCTGCTAAGCCATTCCTAGGAACAGTGTTCAAGAGAGTATTTTAAACAAGAACCCCTTTGAGACTTCGGCAGAAAGCCAAACCATTTTAAAGAAATGGAGCAAACTTCCGTCACCATGAATTACCCTCCCCAGGGAAGCAGTGAAGACTTCCTGGTTTATTCTAGGTATAACCCAAATGTTCCAGAGCGGGTGAAGTTAGGACAGGTGAAAAGAGGGACTTTGAATAGTCACCCTGACCCCACAGTCGCGAACTATGACTCAACGGGTACTTACGGTCCAGAGGAGGCCTCACGTTGTAGAAGTTGATATTCTTGGCCAATGCCCAGTTTTCTGACAAGATAAAGATCTGGACAACAGCTACGGCCAGAGCATGACGGAGGGGCAGCATTCTGACCTTGGTTGTGGGAAAATCCAAAACTCACATATCTATGATGAAGAGAGACACTGGTCGCATTTATTTGCATTTTGTGTATCAGTAGGAGTATGTTTTGCTTTCCTTTGGAAAGCCTGATCATTCAAATATATTCCACCATATACTTGCAGGGCCCATACCTGTGAGTAAATGGCATTCTTCCCACCCAGGTGAAAGTTAAGCGGTGACTGCCTTCTACTGGTTAGGCCTCGGCACTAGCCAGCCCAGCTGGAGCAGGACACCCAAAGGCCTTCCAGGCTCAGGAAGAACAAGCAAGCAGCGTGGGTGTGGCTGCACCCCATTCCCTCACTGCCTGAGGCTGGCCGGGGTGCTTTGTGCTGAATCACCCAATCTCTTAACAACCAGGGTTCAGAGGCATGGTCACCTGAAGTTACCAAGCCACCTTTCTGCAATGCCATTTTTCTGAGTAAATACTTGGGTTTGAGAAATTCTGCAACATTTTTTTTTTCATTTTATTATGTTATGTTAATCACCATACATTACATCATTAGTTTCTGATATAGTGTTCCATGATTCATTGTTTGTGTATAACACCCAGTGCTCCACGCAGAACGTGCCCTCTTTAATACCCACCACCAGGCTAACCCATCCCCCTACCCCCTCCCCTCTAGAACCCTCAGTTTGTTTCTCAGAGTCCATAGTCTCTCATGGTTCGTCTCCCCTCCGATTTCCCCCCCTTCATTTTTCCCTTCCTGCTATCTTCTTCTTTTTTTTTTTTTTTAACATATAATGTATTATTTGTTTCAGAGATACAGGTAACAGTTTTCAAAACCTGGAAGAAACCATGAGAGTTGGAGAAGTGGGAAGCATGGTGCATAAAAGAACAATGAATTTGAGAAATACAGTCTCATCAGGATCCCAGAGCACGGAGACAGGGAAAAACAGAATGGAGTCACTGTAAGAATGCCATCCGCACCTGTGTCTCTCATACCCCGTGCAAGAAGCTGCCAGGAGGTTCTAGAGGAAATCGAATAAAAGTTCTTTGAAAAGCTGAAAACCATGTAATGTTAGTCCTAGCTCACATATACTACTCACAGCTTTCAAAGACTTAAAGTAGGCAGGTTTGGTACCCAATGAAACAGATGTCCACAGAGCACTGAGTAAGATAGTTCATCTTAAGTCCCCACAGGTCCTACCCTCTAGAAGCAACCTGGTATTAAGAAAATCTTTAGGAGAGATGCTAAGAACCTACAGTGTCACCATAAACAGGTTCTCTTTGGCAAGGGAGAGGTGTGGGCAGCAGAAAAGGAGGTAACTTGGAGTCCAAAGACTTTGGTTCAGGTATTGGCTCTGCTATTTATTAGCTGCTTGACCTTGGGCAAGCTCTTTAAGCTCTATTAACCTCAATTTCCTCATCTGTAAAGTGACTTAATAACACCCGTTCTGCCCACACACTGGGGTAATTGTAAGCATCAAATATAGGCTCATGTAGACTCATTTAGGATTGTGTAGGTAACAGCACTTGTAATACAAGTCTGTGAAAAAGCTAGAATCTTAGAGTTCAATAACATTGCCTGAACTCATTTTCTTCTTGCTGAATCAGCTGGTCTCAGTAGGTTTAGGGAATTTTTCAAAGAAGAAAAGTTTGATCTCTGCACATATGAGCATAATCCTTCACATGGATATTTTGTTTGAAGCCAGGGTAATAACGCATGGAATCTAGGGATTTTACCTCCCCCTCTTGTGTTGTGAGTAGACTGGTTTTGCGTGTGTGGCTAATAATGCCTATCTCTGGAGATGGAACTGGATAGCAGACAAAATATAGCCACAGCATCCCCATCCCTACAGATGGCTTCTGCCACTGAGAATGGAGTCTCTAAGGAAGTACTCAGTGTAAAGGAAAACCTGGTAAGTTTCAAAAATCAATAGTGCTTAACTTTATACACTGCATTTCAGCTCAGGACAGAATGAGACCTACTGTTTCTATATTTTTTTGTATATATTTTATATGAGATTATACACACACACACACACACACACATTATATATATATATTTCTGTCCTGATTCATTTTAGAAACCAAAAATGACCTTTCAGAGTTATCAGATTTCTAAACCCTATTTTTATGCTCTTTCTGAAGAAAATGCCCGTTTCTTACAGCTACCTGTATTATTCCTTACAGACAAGCAAGGAATGTATTATACTGGTACAAATTCTGCTTCTCTTGGGTGCCTGGGTGGCTCAGTTGGTTAAGCAACTGCCTTGGGCTCAGGTCATGATCCTGGAGTCCCGGGATCGAGTCCCGCATCGGGCTCCCTGCTCGGCGGGGAGTCTGCTTCTCCCTCTGACCCTCTTCCCTCTCGTGCTCTCTCTCTATCTCATTCTCTCTCTCAAATAAATAAATAAAATCTTAAAAAAAAAACAAATTCTGATTCTCTTATTCATTTCTCTGAGTTGGACTGTTCCATATTCATTGTGAATCTGGAACCCAGGAATGAAGACCCTGGCTTTACACCAGTAGGGAATCTCTGAGTAGGGGAGACTAACCCCTCTCCCAAAAACCTCACATTCACTGTGCTCCAATAGCAATCCACATTCCTATATAATGGAGATGCCTATGATTATAGCTTTCCGAGTCATACTGTCTACATTCAGTCCCTTTTCCATCACTAAGCAAAGATGGGACTTGAGACAAGTTGCTTAAACTTTCCAAGCCTCAGCTTACCCATCTGTAGAAGAGGCATAACAACAGTCCCTACCCCAGGGTGTCAAAGCACGGACTAAATTACATCATGTATATGAAGCACTCAACCCAGTGCTGGGCACATGGGTGCTTTCTATCCAGTACTAAAGAGCATTCGCTCAAATACCTCCTTCCAAACGTACTCTCTGTGGAGCCTCGTGCAAGTTCCTTAACCTCCCCATACCACAACCTTTGCATCTATAAAATGGAAGTAATAATAATAACAACACTTACCTCATAGGGTTGTAGGAATTAAATTAGTTAGAACATGTGAAGCACTTGAACTATCTAATGAGCTATGTCCACCATTTTCTATTCCTCACTGGGTAAACATTTGCTGTGATGAACAAATCTCCAAATAGGAATCATAAGCCAGAACCCCTGGTTTGCCTCGTGTAATCTCTATGTGAGACAGAATCCCATTCCTTCATGCAACGTGGCATTATTGACATGTAGTACATAGAGAGACCTTGTTATTACTGGATCGCCAACGAGGTCTTTGCCCTCATGACGTCTGCGTTTTAGAAGGAGAAGATAGGCAATGAAGACGGGAAAAACATAATTTCAGATAATCCTAATTCTGAGATAAGTACAATAAAGAGATGTGTTAGTGAATAGAAGAAGCTACTTTACATATATGGTGGGCTTAAAGCATCCAAGCAAAGAACCAAGGGAAAAGACACCATGGTCCCAAAACAGGAAGGAGTATGCCTTGTTGGGGAACTCAGGAAGTGGCCAGCGTGACTGGCACATTCCCAGGAGGGGGGAAGTAGACAGAGTCAGAGGTGGTGGGCCCAGATCATAGAGGCACTCACAGGCCATGGCAAGGATTTGGGATCTAACAAAAATCAAGGAATTGTTTGGTTTTAGATTTATCTAATTTTGAAAAAATTCTTTGTCTCTGTAAAGTGATAGGTCCCAAATCCTTAGCTTTATTTCTAACTCCCGGAATAAAGGGATGCCAATGATAGAAAATATAGAGGAATTTAGAATTCACCTATCTGGGAATCACAAAGGCTTCTCTGAATAAAAGAGTGAGTAGATGGCAGGTGACTTAAAACAATCGAATGAACAACACACCCAAGGATTAGGTTTGTGTTTTGGTTTCTCCATTCTTCAAAACAGCATGGTAGGGAAGGTGGCCTCACTGCCGTTGTACAAGAGAGGTTCAGAGACCACACGTAAACATCCTAGCATGCTGCCCGGAACACAGCATCCCCTCAAAACATTCCCACATAGCTTGTTCTAGCCTGCTACCCTTGAACAGTAGTGAAAAGCAAACCGGAGGAATACTGTCTCCATATGGACTAGTGTCTTTTCATTTTGTTTTTAACTAAAACAGCACAGCCTTATTCTATCAAAATTCTCCAGAACTGCAAAGGTTTTACCTGTCAAATGAGGAAAACACTAAATAAAAATGTCTCTTATTTTCCAGAGCCGGCTTTATAATCTATTCCCCTACCCTGCTTTTCTCCTAAGTACCCAGATCTATCTCTATTTATTCTGCCGCGAATAGGTTTGTGTTAACATGACTGTTTTATCTTTCATAACCAAAAGACATAAGGATAATGAAAAAGCAAATGACTAACTATGGTATCTGAAAGTTGTTTTACATTTAGAATCATTTCACGGAGACTCTGAACTAAAAATCGTCTGCTGAGACTTTGCTGAATAGGCTTTCCCTGCAGTCTCGGTTACAGAACAAGATTACAGTAGAGCTTGTATTTTGCTCCAGAAGGAAAAAAAAAACAAACTTCATTCAATTACTCTCTCCAGGACCATCACATACAGCAGAGTTCTTCATAGTGGGTAGGGGTGGCCTGTGAGCTTCTTAGGATTATTTGCAAAGTTTTGTGTCTATACATATTTTCCCCCCTGGGCTGAGTATATCAAAGGAATCTGAGACCCAAATGATAGTTAAGAACGGCTGCTTGCTGTTTCAGGATACAGCTGTTATGATTTGGTTTCCTTTGACTTAGACGTTTTTATATTTGACACGAAGAAAATTCCACACATACATTAGGTATGTGGTATACACTTCTCAAATTCAAGGGCAGCTCAAAAACATTCCTCCCCAGACAGAGCACATTACTTTTATACTTTTTTCCCAGCTGGTAGGCCTGGTCAGAAACCCTTCACCTGAGGTGCTGGCCTTCCATTTGTTTTATGATCTTCTCTTTGGAAAGTATAGTTCTTGCTCCAGAAGGCAGTGTGCTCCTTTGACAAAAGACAGGGGCGCTTTCTGCAAGGCACATTTGTAGGGATGCCACAGAGAGGGGCAACGCTAAGGCCTTCCAGGGAATGGCACGT